AAAAAAATCATTTCACATAATTCACGATAACCTAATTAATGACTTTAATTATTTGGTTGGACTTGCAGTTTGTTCGTTGGTTGACAGAAAAAAATCCATCAATAATTAAACTGCGAAAATAATTAATAAAATAAAAAACAAATAAAAACTTTAATTGCTTTTGGACACAACGGTACTGCTCTTAATGGYACGCTGTCCAATTTATGATCTAATTTTATATTTTATTTCCGGCGGTGATTTATCGTTATTGTGCTGCAGTTATAATAAACGGATAAAAAGAGATATTAGTACCATTAGACGGGGTTTATTTTTTTGTTTATCACRAAATATAATAACATAAACATCATATCATATTATAAAAAAATAAATATTAGCTATGGTACAGTCGTAGTATGCACGCTTATATTATGGCCGTTACGATAATTGTTGACTTTCGTGTGTCAAAACAATAATATTGTAAAAGGCTTAGTTGTGGATGGTCCAAATTATCGACAAGCAATAAAAATCGTTTTATATTTTAATGATTGAATTTCATGATTTTGTTAAAARTTATACCATATAGTCTGCGTCTGTAATAATATTATAYGCTTTCTGTTACAATTATTGACACACAGTATCCGAACTGTGGATGGCGAAAGTCGTTGAAATCRCTTWGGTATACTGAGCGTACGCCATATAGTAAGATAAATATGTAGTTTATTATACGTTATTCGGTCGGATGCAGTTTTAAGTAAAATACTCAAATCACATATTACGCGGGTGGGATTKATACGATGAAAGTCAGTCTCGGTTATACTCACGTTTGTGATTCATTATACCCACTATATACCTACCTTTATATGATTAAAATTAAAACGTATGTACAACACTGTTCTCCAGCGTTGAAACAAACTCTTCAATTAAAATGTATAGTCATTTAATACTATTATCATATAATAATAGTGTAATTATTTTGTACAAGTTATAAAAAGGACCTAAAATAATATGCAGACATAAAGCTTTTTATTTTATTATTCATATTATGAATTTACTTTCANCAATAAGGATTTTGATGCTAAATGATTAGCGAAGAACGTTTATAGTCATACTGTT